TTTTAGTATTCGGATTGAGATGGTTATTTACCATCTCTTCGATATGCATATGTTACAAAGGTGCAGCATTTTATTGGTGCTTCACCATATAAACTCTTATATGGTTATGATCCAATATTACCAACGAAGCTGGGTTTACCTTCGCGATTGCCATGAGCTGCCGATGCTAGGTCATGGGATCAGTATTTGATAAGTATTCTTCCACTTGTTTGAGCAGAGTTTGCCGAACACTTAGGCCGCATACAAGTGGGACAACAATGGCACTATAACTCCCATCATTGTCCACTTGCGGAGTACAAAGTGGATGATTTGGTGTTAGTCCGTTTTCCTCATCTTACGGTACGTGGTTTATCTAAAGGGCTCCTTGCACAGTGGAAAGGACTGTATCGAGTGTTGCGGCAAGTTGGACCACAAGTTTATAAGGTTCGGCATGATGTTCAACAAGCCGATCCTCTAGAGATTATGCATGTGTAGTGGTTGAAACGCTTCATACAAAGGGATTAGGAGCAGTTAATACCACCTACAGATCCGCCGATACCTACTCCTAACGTTCTTCTAGATCTCAGCTCGTCTACAAGAGAACCCTAATGGTCTTCTATTATTCCGAGAGGAGGGGATGATGTGAGGGCCAAGTGTACGGTTACGATGCCGTATGCTAATATTAGCACAATAGGATTTTGGTAGCCGTCGGATTGGTTTCAATCTGGACCACTCACTCCTGTATATAAGCTAGGGTTTTTGGGCTAATTGATATATGTAAGCTCCTGAGTTTAGACTTCCCAAGAGGTCATCCAACCTAGTACTATTCAAACCTAAAGACACTTAACCCCAAATATCCCAAGACCTTTAACCAATTGAAAAAAGGGGTGCACTCTTATTCATGGGCCTTTTCCTTTTATATTTGAACTCTATAGATTTTTTCTCGATTCGTTCCCTTTGGTTGCTTATAATCTATGATGTTTCCCTACAAGTTCACACCCTCGTGAACGAAAGCTGAGAGCCACAGCTCACCCGAGAGCCCTGCTCTCTTGACACCCTATTTCTCGGGTCAAGCCCAGCAGGAGCAAATTGGACCAACTAGATGTCAATTAACATATAGTGTGATTCTCTTAGCCAGCCAATAGAGTCGAACCCGAAACCCTTTTGATACCAAATGTAAGCTCCTGAGTTTGGTCTTCCCGAGAGTTCACCCAACCCAATACTATTCAAACCCAAAGACACTTAACCCCAAATATCCCAAAACCTTTAACCGATTGGAAAAAGGGGTGCACTCTTATTTATAGGCCCTTTCCTTTTATATTTAAACCCCATGGATCATCTCTTGAGTCGTTCCCTTTGGTTGCTTACAATATGCACACTTTCTGTATTCCTTTTCTATATTCCAAGCACTCATAATGTTTATTTTATTAATAATAAATTTTAAATATGTATTAGAAGAAAAATTGCTAAATATTTATAGCTCTCCTCTTAGAGCTAACTGAAAAGCTTAATGAAAGAGTGTGTTACCTTTACCAAATTTAACTAGTGGATATATTTATACACCATTTGTGAGTGCATGGATTATAAAAATAGAATACAAAAATGTATATATTAGATTAACCTAAAAACCCTGAAATAAGTAAGTGGTCCACATTGAAATCATATCAAAATCTCATTACACTTATATCAGTATACAATTATAGTTATATATGTGGACCTCACATTATCCCTTGCTTTTGGAAAGATGAAAAGTAATTAGGATCCTCTAGTTGATAAGTCAAAATTCAAAGGAAAATTAGGAGGAGGCACTAATGGATTTGTACATGGTGTCAATTGTTCATAATCTCTTTGTATAAAGTGTTTTAGCCATGATAAATATCATGCTAAACCTAATAAACCTGTGGTCCAACTTGCTACAACACTTTATATAATCCTTTCCACTGAGCAATGAGCCTTTTAAACAAACCATGTATTATAATATTGAGAAAATAAACCAACATCAAATCATCCATTTTATACTCTGTAAGTGGATAATGATAGAGTTTAATTTAGATATTATCCCACTTATATGTGGCCTAAATGTTCAATAGAGTCCACTAGAACCAATGGAAGAATGATTGTCAAATATTAATCTTAGAACTTAATATTAGTAACTTATGGCAATCATAATAATAAATTCAACTCTATCAAAAATATCATATTGTGATTATATAAGAGTTTATATGATGAAACACTAATAAAACTCTATACCCTTATGGCATATACATACTAAAGAGATGATAAATAACCATTCCAATCCAAATGCTGAAAATTCACATACTTCATAATCATTCTTTTGAAGGTTCAAACAAGTCATTCCACCAAACCATCCATCTGTGAATAATAAAGATTCGTGAAAATATGGCATATCCCTAGTTGAAATGATAAACACTCGTGAAAATGTGGCATATCCCCAGATATCAAGATGTGAAATGCCTTATTTATAGATATGGGACCATTATCTAAGAAAATCTACTTTGAGCAAGAATGTTAAAACACCATTTAATTGACGAGGAAATATTTAATTACAATTGCAAATACACTAGCAAAAGCATTGATTTCCACTCATCAAATCAAGTAGTTGAAAGCAATAATGATGTACTCATTGTCAACAATTGACTGTGGAAAAGGCTCTATTAAATTAAATGTTACTAACTCAAATAAACAGAAAAACACAATTGACTTCAATTATCCTTTTACAGCACAAAGGGGAGTATTGTAAATTTGGCACCAAACATAACTATACATATACTAGATAACATTATATTGCATCTTTGAATAATAAAAAGATCTATATAGCTTTTTAGTCATATAATAATATCCCATATATTTACCTATAATAGGTCATGGTAAGCATAAAGAAAATATAGAATAAAAATAAAAAACATCACTAACTACAGATAGTCATTAGAATAAGTCCTTATAAAGTAAAAAAGATTGTCCTTAAAGTGATATTGAAAATATAAATACCAAAATAGCGAATCATCAGTAAATAATGCAAACATCTGAAGCTTTTGAATCCATAATTTAACCTTTTGATCCATTAAGAGAAGGCAATTTTAGCTTTAGACCTTGGATACTAAACAATCAAGTATAAATACTATTGATAATATGGAATCCTTGTTTATAAAATAAAATTCATTAATGGTAGAATAATTGATTTTTCAGGAACACGAAAAGGGAGAGGAGCTCAAAAAAGGTATTAGCATTAGCCATGGAACTCCTCAAATAATGAATGACCTCAAAATTATCTATTTTAAAAGTCAAAACTTATCAAGTAGTACAACTAATCAAATTCTTCCACTTCAATAATGAAATGATCACAGCATGATGAGACATATAAGTCTTTCATGGTGGTGGGAATGTGAGACCCCCTGCATAATTCTTCTTTATTATGGAGGTTCTAACGAGTTTAATAAGAATATATTCTAATGTCATATTAAATATTACATCAATCTGAAGTCAAATTCTAAATATCCTGAAAGGGTGCTCATGAATTGAAAAGTTAAATAATTGAGCTCAATTTTCAATTGTAATTTAATATAAACATTATAAACTAAGTTTGCCATGACCTTAATACTTTAAAGTTTATAATATTTATATTAAACAGGTGCTAACTAATTTAATAAGAATAATGTCATATTAAATTACATCAATCTGAAGTTAAACCCTAAATATCCTAAAACCCATAACCAATTAGAAAAAGAGGTGCTCATGAATTGAAGAGTTGAAGAGTTGAGCTTAATTTTCATTTATAATTTAATATAAACATTATGCCATAACTTTAATACTTTAAAGTTTATAATGTTTATATTAAATTACAATTATAAAATTTAAAGTATTAAGGTAACTCTTTAGATAAAAATGTTCTGGAAGAGACTTCTTTCAGGTCGTTGCAGCCTCAAGTAACAAGAGTGAGGTACATAATTTGCTTAGCTACTTAATGTTTTGATGGAATGGTTTCTTTCCAGGTACATCGAAGATCAACAAGGTGTTGCAAAGAAGTGACTATTAGATTAAAATCACTAAACTTTTATACATTTTGGATATTTACTGCTAACACTTATCCCCCAAATCGAGTGCTTCTCTCACTGATAGTAGTTGTCAGATGGATTTAGGCTACAAAATTCCAGTAGTCATGAAAATTAATTTTAATTTACAGTTTGAATCTTTAATAACAAGTTCCTCAAGACCTAGTACCACCACCGCAAGCTTGTCAAATCTCGTAGTACTTGCACAGACGAAGCCATCTGCTTTGACTGGAGAGCAAGAAAACGAAGAAAAAAAAACCTGCATCCCTACTTGCTTCTGCAGCTAAAGAACTTTGGGCAGCAAACACCGCCCAATCCACCCTTATCCCTGACGCAGCAGCAGTTCCTCCACAATTCTACACGACTAAAGAGAAAGAAGCGATCTTCCAACGTTGATTTTGCCAGCCTAATAAGATCTGAAACGCAGAAGAAAGAGTTCTAATGTACTCCTCTGTGTTGCCTCCATTCCCATTGAAAACCAGGCCCAAAGAAATCATGGCACACGGTTTTAAACCATGAACAATTCTGGCTCACCATGTTGTGTTCTGTAGAGCGACCTGCTTCATTATATCATCTCTAAGAAAAACAACCAAGAATCGTTTAAGCGCAAGAGCTGCAGCTCCCTGTTCTTTCTCAAAAACTTTTAGTAGCAAGGAGCACTCAAATTTGTAATATGACGGCTCCAAACAACCTATCCGTGCCTTGGTTAGTATGTAAATATAATACAGGTATGACAAGAGACCCGTGCCGATTACACAACTCGAAATATGCCCGTGCCGTCATCCTGTGTCCTGTGCAAACGAGCTTACACCCATATTAGGCTTTCTCTTCTCTTTATAACACCAAAATGCTTCGAGGTGTAAGTTGCTCCAGCTGCTGAGAAACTTGGAAAGCAATTCAAACCATAAGTAAGCCTACTTGATTTGGATGGACGCCGTACGCAGTTCCAAAGAATCTCTCCAAAAAACATTGAGAATACGTGCATAGTATATAACAAGCGTAGAGTTTTTTTGCTATCCAAATCTGAGATTCTTACAAACCAGATTAGCTGCTATCCTCGCTTTTTGACTTGTCTTTCTTCAGCACTTTCAGTGCAAGAGAGTACACTGAGTTTCGCCTCACAAAAGTTTCCTCGCTCACCTCTTTCACAGCCTGCATAGAATTTTCAGCGCTTTATAAATCACCACAATATTCACCTCGGACAAGCTCTTTCCAGATTCGAACAGTATTTCAAGTCTATCTTCCAGTTCTTCGTTGCTCGGGAACCTCTCGGCAGCTCTTGCTGGTAATCCGTCAATCAGCAGAGTAACTTCTCCTCGAGGCTCGCTTTCTTTAAAACGAGCTTGCGCTTTGCCAAGTGTTCCGCGCCAAAACTGTTTCAATCGTCGTCAGAAAGTAACAAACTTCTTGAAAACAGTTATTTACCTCTTCGTAGATCTTTGTTAACTCCCTTGCGACCACACAATGCCTGGCAAAAGAGAAATTAGAATGACACAGCCTAGTGCTAACCAACCTGTTCGAGCCAAAAGCAGTGGCGCATTCTGCGAGTATGCTGCAAAGCTTGTTTGGAGGAACGAAAAAAATCTGTGTCGATGTCTCTTCCGCAGCAACAAGGAGCCGTTTGTGCCTGGTGCTCGCATGCGTCGATAGAAATCCTACTGCCTCAGCCTGGCTTTTTGTTAGCAAACGCTCATAAAGAAACAAAACCCGTAGGCACGAAAGACTCACCAAACGAGAACTCGTTTGTTGGTAGTCCGGAGGCGATTAGTGCTGTTAGAGCTGCAGATGGTCCGGGAACTGGTATTATTTTATAGTTCTCCTCGATACAAGCTCTAACCTGATAGACATCACGTTAGCACGAAGAGGAAACTGAGAAGGAAAAAAAAAACGGAGCGTACTAGCTCAGCACCAGGATCACTGATTCCTGGCATTCCGGCATCGCTCACAAGGGCCAATGCCTCACGGTTTGCCAGTCTTTCCAGGATTTCCTCTTGTCTCGTTTGCTCGTTAAACTTGTGATAGCTCATCTGGAAAGAAAAAACAAACAGTTTTTCTTTCTAAAGGAAACATACTTGAGAACCAGCCTTTGGAGTTTTGATATCGTAATGCTGCAACAGCTTTGAAGAGTGCCTTGTATCCTCTGCCAGTATCAGATCAACTGATCGTAATACTCTCAAGGCGCTGGAGCCAGGAAAACAAAGAAACGAGAATACTTTTAGAGCAGTAGGCAGGAAGAAAAGAAAGAAAAAAAAGTAAACGAGAACACACCGCATTGTGATGTCTTCGAGATTTCCTATTGGAGTAGCGACCAAGTAAAGCCCGGATTCGATCTTTGGCTGCGGGACAAGCTGGAGAACGAGAAAATTAAATAAAGGAAGAATTCATGAAGAAAATCATACCGCTTGCTCTTGCGCTGCCGCTAATGCTAGCCTCCCTTTAGCAGAACAGTACGTTGCACGGGTGATCCTCCTATGGCAGCAACTAAGCAGAGCTTTGGCGGCATTCAGCTCCATCGCCATCGCCATTGCGCATCCAACCTAAAACCCCTAACTAGGGTTATTCATAATGAACGGCCAGGATCTCTTCCCGCGCAACTCTCTTCGATTTCACTCGATTTCCATCTCGCTGCTGCTCATCTTCCTCTAAATTTTGACTTCTTTCTCTGACGTCTCGCCCGCCGGGCTGAGCATTCCAAGCAATCCAAGCAAAGAAGAAGGCTTTTGATTTGCCTCCACCAAACATTGAAACTCTGTGAGTAAACCAGCATGAGAACAAAGACATCGTCCAATCTTTGCTCAAGGACACTCGAACTCACAAATTCGAGCTCAGGACTTACCGAGCAAGTGTTGTATACCACTATCTCCGAGGCAGGAACTGATAGATTAGGAAATTTTGTCATAATTTAAATTATTATTATTGGCAAATTTACAGAACTAACCAATTGCCTTCCATAACACTGTACGAGTTTCTAAATTATAAATGAAAACATTTCCTTCTCCTTTTACCACTGCACTTGCCATTGCGAAACAATTTAAATGCAACCTACAATCCACATTAGCTTCCCAGAAAACATGATTTGCAGGGCTCTTTATCACAAGCTTTCCATCATACTGCAAATGTGCAAAGCATCCACTGATAGGATCATAAGAATGCTCACTAATCCACAAGATTAGACCATCTATTTTGCGAATTAACACCAGCTTGCAGTTCTTCTGTTGCATGGTGAGTCTATACAGTCCATTTACTGAGTTTAAACTATTTCCAGCGGGAAGATATGATCCTGAAACTTTGATATGATTGCTTATGATAGATGATCCAAAACTCCAGCAATCACTTATATCATGGTTACTTTGTTCTCTGGTGACAACACTATCTAATCTTTTAATATGCAAATTAGTCTTTGGTGGCACATATACGAGTTGATAGTGTATAGCAAAATTTAAAAATTCTGTACGTATCTCAGCACAAAAGGTTACTCTAGTTCCATTGTCATACATGGCATCCGTGAACATCTGACTCCTGATGTAGCTGAATGCTTGCCGCACTTCATGTGAGGCAAAACGAAATGGTATGGATGGATCAGCCACACAAATACCAATAGAATCAACATGTAAAAGCGGGGCAGTGATGTGAAATGAAATTCTCACCGATGTCGCTCCCAAAGAAAACACAGCAGAGATGCTTCCAACTCCAAATGTATTATATACTCCATCGTCAGCATAAACAGCATCAATACAGTTATCAATCATGTTCATAACTTCTCTAAACTCTACTAGTGATAAGGCATTTAAGCCTACACTGAAGATGGTTGTGGGCAGAGCAGGATACCAGTGTGGCGGGGGCTGACCAAAACTAGTCAAAACTAAAGCTAATAATGCAAAGGTGGAGCAAATTGAGAACATGTTGGCTAAATAAAATCCACTCAAGAGTTTGGAGTTCTTGGTGCTTTCAGAGGCTAATGTGCCGAGTGTGTTGAACAAAGCTACAACGGAAAGACCAAGAAAGTTTACATGGCTAAGTTGGATTCAATACTAGGAAACAAAATTTGGTTGTTTTCTTTCTGACTAGATATATTCAATAAATTAAAGGAATTTACTATTAGGAATTTAATTTAAGTTTATCTGACCTAAAACCGTTTGTGAAACTTATTAAAATCCGCTATAAAATTTGGTGCTTTTCGATTCTGAACAAGCAAAAGTTACAACGCCAAGAAAGTTAAATATTAAGTACACAATATTTAAAAATTAGCTTAACTTGCCCGCAAAACAAAATATCCATCAGTTTAGTTTCTTTTGTTTCTTCTTTTTCCTCTTAGTTTTCCTCTCTTCGATTTCACTCGATTTCCTTTTGCGCTGCTGCTCAAAAGTCTGGCTCCTTTCTCTCACGAAAAGAGCGACGAAAAAACCATCGGTTTTGTCTCGCAAGGCATCCGTCCGCAACAAATGCTGCGCTGAGCATTCCAACGCAAGGCCTCAGTTCCTTTGGAGAAGCAAGAAGAAGAGTTTTGATTTACCTCCATCAAACACTGGAAGTCCTCTGTGAGGCCAATCTGGAAGAACAGTCCCGAGCTTGAATTTGTGAGAGCGAGCGTGCTCGAGCACGGATTGGATGACATCTTCGTTCTCACGCTGGTTCACCGAGCAAGTGCTGTATACCACTCTCTCCACGGCAGGAACTGGGAAAAAGAGGCCAAAGACTTAGCCTGGAAAAACTGAGAGACTGGCTGCTTACAGGACAATGCGTGACACAGAGCAGCCTTTTGGAAACTGGCTAACCGATCGATCCTTTGAAACTCCGGATCGTCTGGAAACTTTACAAGGGCATGAGATTATACAACTGAGAAAACAAATGACTGACCGTTTGCTACTGGAAGCAAGTGATCCATTCTTTGCACTGTAGTCCCGGAGCCAGAGCAAGACGGGTCCAACAAGATCGCACGAACCTGGAAACCACTTTAAAACTTTTTCCGCAAGAAAAGAGAAACGAAAAGAAACAGAAGAGACCTTGCTGTAGTCCGACGCGTTTGGATCGAGTTTAAGAAAGTCCTGATGCTTCACTTGTATATCTTTCAGAGTGTTGTCTAGGAAAAAACGACGGGTTTTTCAGCACAAATAGGAAGGATACTGTTTGCTCCGGCACGTTTGACCGTGTCTTGCAGCACCTGGAGGCGTTTTCTGTGGAGCTCGCAAGCCGTAACCCGACCTTTTCCTTTCATCAGAGCAGCCAAATGCACGGTTTTGTTCCCAGGAGAGGCACAAGCATCCAAAACCTCGAGAACAAAACACCATAAACTTGAAGAATAAGGAGGAGAAGAAAAAAAGTTTAAGATAAAAGAGTACCTCCCAATCTAGATCTGGGCAAAGAACATGTGCTGGAATACAACTTGCTTTGCTCTAAGAAACAAAACAACGAAGAAAAAAAGCTCTTAACACTAAGAATTCAGCTCAAGTAAATGAGTCACCTGTAGGAAAATGCTACCTTGTAGCACAAGAGAATGGTCGTGCAAATCCGTGCCGGGCGGAAGCACAAGCAAGTCAGGAAGCAACTCGTCAACCTTGGCCTGCCAGCTAAACAATGTCAAAACGGAAAAAGATCTCACGAAGGAAACTTACGCCAAGTTCTTCAAGCTTCTCTAGAGCTTCGTCGACTGTCATTTGCAGAGTGTTCACTCTCACGTATCTGGGAATGTCTACCAAAATCGGTTTGAGGCGAGATATGAATGAAAAAATTGAAACAAACTTACCACAAGATTGTATCTGTCGAGTTTCTGGTGGCAGCAACCCATCAATCTCAGTGACATTTTTCTTCATCATCAGCCTCACAAATGCTGCTCGAAGTGCTGCCTTTCTCGACAGCACAAAGATTTCTTCTTTTCCCGACGGCAAAATCTCCTTTTTCCAACGTAGAATCACGAAAACTTCAGTATCATAGCACAAGGAAAAGAAAAAGGAATTTACTTACTTGCTCAAAGAGTAGATCATGCGTGAGCACATAGAAAAGTTCATCCTGACCCTGGCGAAGAGAAACAAAGAACTGATAGAGAGAAACAAACACCCAAACCTTGTTTTTCCTTCCTTGAAGAAGACCCACAGAATGCACAATGTCCTTGATCACGGGAAGATCTGTCAAACACATTTTTTACACGCGAAAAAGTTCAAGAAGACAAGTCCTCTTACATTTGAGAGTGTTGCAAATGAGAGCAAGGGTAGCCTTTTTCGCGACGATGGAAGGCTTGTAGACGAGAGACTTGATAGAAGCGAGCGCCCTGTGCTGCGTATTGCCCGCCAAGACTTGCCTGAGAATCCGAGCTACCTGGCGGCGCACAAAATGCAGCGCGGGCTTCTTAGCTCCCATAACATTTAGGGCGAAAATTTTGCTCTATGTATTGAAAACATCATTTCTTTTACAGCCTTCCACCATTCTTGACGAGTTTCTGTGAATATAACACATTGCTCGCATCGTCTTTGATCATAAGATTCCCATCTTGTTCGAGGTGTGCAATGCATCCACTCACAGGGTTGTGAAAATGCTTGGGTAGCACCATCTGTTTTTGTTAAGACCAACTTGCCATCCATGCACAGTGTCAACCTGTAAAGCCCAGAGCTGTTTCCCTCTAGAAGATAGGATCCTGGAATTCTTTCTGGATTTCCAACAAGACAACACCTGAAACTCCAACAATCACTTTCTTTGCTTGCTAAGATGTGCTATAGAAACGTGATCTATTGCAAAATTTAAGTGTTCTGTGCGTATTTCAGCATCTCTCTGTCTGCTGCCTGAGACCTGCAATCGATACCCATCGGATTTCTAATGGAGAGAAATGTTTCTCTTACGTAGAAACGAAATGGCAAAGAGGAATCACCAATGCAAATCTCAAAGTTTGTTCTTATTAGTAGGGGCGCATGGATATGAAAATCAACTCCAATTGATATAGATCCAATTGGAATCACAACAGAGGAGCTTCCTACTGGAAAATAGTTTAAACCATTGTCATCAGCATAAAGCAGATTAACATGATTAACTATTTGGTGGATAATTTGATCAAACTTGGACGTAATGTGATGGTGGAGATTGGCACAAGGCAGGAGCTAGTGTAAAAAGCAATAATTTCAAGAACACATGCATCATTATCTAATTACTCTTCAGCGGGCTTTACTATAACACAACATTAGTTAATTGTCTTTTATTTAAAATAACCAAACTTATAGTGCAAGGTGGAAAAAAGGTAAATAAAAGAAAGAAAGAAAGAAAGAAAAGGTCATTGTATCAATAAGAATTTTTCATAGGGGCATAAGGTTCTGCATTGATGATGAATTTGCCTTCCTTTAGTAAACAGGTCCATCAGAAACCAGATGGAAATTGATGGAGATACTGTGCTGATCCGCATTGAATTGTTCGACTTTGCCATTTGCTATTAATTAGTGCTAAAGGGGTTAGAGAAGACGGTGAATAGTTGAAGTTTTTGATTCCAGGATCCTATCTTCGATCAGGGAACAGCTTAAGTTCTGTGATTGGCATTGCAGGATGTTTTGCACATCTCCAACAGGATCTTGTGATTA